TCTTAATCAATTGTTCAGATAAACTTTTGAATTAATCATAATTGGTAATTAATAGGAAATTACAGTCTTCGTGGGAACGATACTCTACTTATTTCTATATTACTTGTGCGAATTGTGCGCTTGCAATAATTTCACAACATGAACACTCTCACAACCCTTGGTGTTTCCCTCCTTGGTGTCTAGACTCTCAAGACCCCAACTCAGCTCCTAACTTGAACTGATTGCTCTCCCTCACGTTCTCCCTTGGTGAGTTAACCTCCTTTGAACACAATAGCTCCCAGCTACTTGACCACCTTGAGATTAACCACACTGAGTTTCCAGCTTCTGCCACTACATATTATACAACTTGTTTTCCCTTCTTGTGTTATCTTACTTCACCCCATTACCTACACAAGCCAATGGACAAGAGATAAGATATCAGCTTGTCCTCCACGTTCCTTCCTTTAGTCACCACTTAGACTAAATGTCAGATCAAGTAGGTAAATAGAATCCCACTCAGCCACCTCCATTAAACCAGAAAATGGAGAGAAGATTATTCAAAATAAGACAACCAATTAGCTATGAGTGCTCTTCCAACTATCCAGCAGGTAGTCAACCCTCTATCAACTCAGAAGTGACCCATTAAACCTCTGAAATCTTGTGGAAAGCGATAGCCCTTGAAAACTTAGTTGAAAACACGTAAGAAATCGTCACAGCACTGGCGACCGGTCGCTTTGTACAGAAGCTACAGACTTCGAATTTGTGCAGGGCGACCGGTCGCGGATACCTTACGACCGGTCGTTGCGACCATTTGGATACCTAGCGACCGGTCGCTCGCTGCGATTTTTCCAGATTTCGAATCTGCTTCTAACGACTGGTCGCCCAAACCTTGCGACCGGTTGCTCACTCCTTCACTTGCAACCTTAATGTGAGCCAATTTTACAACACAGCTGTCAAACCACCTCATAAATTGGAAAGACCAATCCCTGATGAAGTTGAATCAACAAGTGACAATGGAAAACAACGGGTTTTTTTAATTTGTCAATTTCTCTATTTTTTTTAAAAAAAATTACGAATTTGCTCCTAATATTGACGGAAATTTGGGTGGACATCCGAAAAATTGACGGTGGGGGATATTGACAATAAAAGTTAGTTAGGGTCTTTAATTTTCATTAAAAAAAAAGTCAATGAGTAAATTGAAAATTACCTACAAGATGAGGGGCAAGTCACCAATTAAACATTCTTTTATTCAATAACTAAATGCAAACTTTTTATTAAAAAAAATTAAAAATTATATTTATTACAATCATTCTTTAGTAGAACGCACATAATTTACAACAAAGTCGCTCATGACAATACCATCTTCCAACTTTAGATTTGCTTTCTTCCTCCAATTCCCCCACATCTTCTTCATCTTCCAATCTCCAAATCTAGCATACCAGGTATGTTACGAGTATTTTAAGCTTTAGCTGGCTCTAATGCTTTGGCAATTCCATGGACAGTGACCTCGGCCTCGACCAAGCAAGTATTCTTCAACAAATAACCATTGTTTGACATTTTGAAACTGCCCAAGTCAATGAATCTAGACCAACCCCAACCCACCATGGTACTGAACCAGGCATAATCCGCTGCAAGCACACAAAAAGGAAAACAAAGAGAGACTAATTAGGATTGAGAAGAAAATTGAAAAGAAAGAGGAAAAAACAAATAAGTAAAAGAAGAAATATATATTAGGCCACATGTTTACATTTCCGACTCATATGCTTGCCGTTCAATTGATCTACGATGCGCAGAGTATACTCTGTAAGTAATTGGGAGCCAGGAGATAGCTTTTCTGGATGAACCAATCTTAAGAAAATAGAAACATGAGTATTCTTTCCAATTGCATCTCCCTTGGGATAGAGCTTTATCACCCTGCAACCACACCAACAAATTAATTAAAACAGAGGAACTAATTAAACAACAAGTTTAATTAGATTAATAATTAAGGAGGCTTAATTAATATCATTAGAGATACCTACCATGTCTGCCCTCCTGCAGTGAATGGTTCTGATTGCAAGAATTCGGATTTTAACATTGAAAAACTCTCAATCTTCCAACAATGCTTCTTCATAAAAGCACTCTTGTTCCTTGACAGGCACTCTACCTTACCCGCTCTTCTTTCTTTAAGAACGAAGACCTCGGCTCCCAAAACACAAGCATCATCAATGAGATAGCCATTGGAAGCAACAGAAAATTCTTTCAGAGGGATAACTCTATCGAAACCCACTTGGAGCATCGCCCCGTGCAAGCACATCTTGTTCATATTAGCATCTGATAAGCAAGAAAAATCAAGAGATCATGAGCAATGCAAGTGCAACACAAGAAGTCTATATCTGTTGGATGGTTGCATGAGAATTAACTCCAAACAGATAGAAGATGTATAATGAATATATACCCTGAAGAACCGAGTAGATTCCCTTATTCTGATCAAGCAAAAACAATCTAAAATCAACAGATACTTCCCAACCAGTCTGAAGTGAATTTGCTTCGGCCATTTTTAAGTAGACAGAGATGTGGTCTTCTACATTCTTCTTTGTGTTTCCATTTCGGTACACCACCAGTTTCCTGCGGTGAGCAAACATTTATATATAAAAAATACAATAATTATAGCATCTCCAAAGGAGGTGTTAAATCCAACGTGGTACTTTTAGCATGTAGAAAAGATAATTGAGACTCTCTCCAACCAAAATGTTAAATCCTACATGGAAGAACATTTCTCTCTCATGCTATTATTTTTGGATGTTTGACTTTGTGATGTTATTTAATTATTTAATAATTTCTTTTTAATTAATATGCCTAAAAAGCAATAGACCAAATAATAAAATAATATTTTAATTTGACATACTAGGTGGAATGTGAAACTCTATTATATGTCAAATTGCCACATAAGCTATCAAATTCAAATTTAACATTTGATATTTCCATTGGAGATGCTCTTACCACAATCCTGTACCATCTTAGCTGAGTTCGAAACGCCATGTGATTGAATTTGAGTTACAAGTTTTAAATTAGAACAGTTTCCTTTAAAAATCTTATATGGCAGCTGAATTGGACACACCAGGTCATTGAATTTGAGTTACAACACGTTTCCTTTTAAATAATAATAATAATAATGTTCTCCCCAATCTCCTCCCTCCCCCTTTTCACCCCCTCCCCCATTGGCGACCAGTCCAAACTGCACTGGCACTCTCGTACAACATAAAAATTGAAGAAAACAAAAGGCTGCAAGTCCAAACTACAATGGCACTCTTTGGACTCAAGTGATTTTTTGAACATATATATGATATTTGAAGGAATATTTACAAGATGGACGGTTCAGATTATTGAAATACTATGCAAATAGACCCTACAAGGGCGTTAAGGGATCCCTCAACAGAAACTTTATGTATATCCAAGGTATATTATCTATAAAATTAGAAGGATAAAATGGTGTTTTTTATTTTTCATTTTTTAATCCAGAAAAATAAACATTTACTATATTATCCTTATTTATTTAATATTTTCAATTCTTAGTATTATCATTAACCAACGTGGTATTTTTTGGTATTTTGAATGTTTCACAATTCTCTACCACACAAAACGTGAAAAGGAAGAAAATAATTAAGAAAACGTATACCATTTGTATCCTCCAGCACCAAACTCCCCAGATTCATATGTATCCACTGAATTTTTAGTCAGCATCGAGAATGACTCTATTTTTAGAGAATAATGTGTTGGTGGTGAATTTGAAAGTGATCTCGAAAGTCCTGGGAAAAAAAAAATTCATAAAATTTCAATTACATAGCGTTTAGAGTAAAACACAAAATATAGAGAGACACAGAAAGTGGCTTACCATCTTGGGCCATGGCAATAAAATTGACCAACGAATTTATTTTTCTGAGGATAAACAGCGACCCTTTACTTGAAGAAGACTATTGACTAATTGTAACACAAAACAAGAGATGGAGTGGGTGGGGCTGGCGTGGGGGGAGGATATACAACTAATTGAAACATATATGTTTGAAATATGTGTAGAGGTAGTGTCTTTATTATGCGTTTAAACTCCATATTTATAAGGGTCTTGACCTATGCCATCAGCATCTCAACTTGGATAATGTTTTCATGGCATCCAAGTTAGCTCTTGAATTACTTTCCCTTTCATAAAAGTAAGCCCCTTGATTCTTATCTTTTCCCAAAAGGGGACAATAGATGTAATTAAAATTGAAAAATAGAAGATTGTACTGTTAATATATATTCTTGAAGCTAAACAAAGAATTTGATTTCTTCCTTTAAAATGCTTCAATAGGGAGTTATCCTATCCAATCCAATTCTATGCACCAAACGAGTTTCAAGTTTAGAATCATACCTTTACTTTTTTCTTTGAACCCAATTTAGTTGTAAAATAGAAAACCCTTTCTGATACTTTTACCTTGTATCGAATTGTCAGCAAAGTAAGTTTGTTGGTCAAGTTTATTTCATAGGGCGACCAGTCTTAACTTTGATGACCAAGATGGTAAGATGCTGCCAACGGGGTTTAGCCCAGTGAAAAAGAAGACAAGAGGTCTCAGGTTCAAACCCCCATACATGACATCATTTGTGTGTGTATGAAAAATCCCCCTTACCTAGTTTATGTTGGCGTAACTTGTGTACCATTGACTTTCTTTCTTTACACACCAAGGATTCCCATTATAATTATATTTGATTTACTTTAATTCTTGATTTCCTACTATAAATAGAAATATGAATTTATTATTTACTTGCCCATTAAAGTTCCGTTGTATTATAAATATGACCTCCTACAATGAGAAGAATACACAGAAAATTCCCACAAACAAATATTCTCTCATAGTTCTCATATTTTAGCATGGTATCGGAACGGCGATCTTGAAATTGCTTACTCTAGTTTCCAACCCCTGCCGCCGCTATGGGGGTTGATGATTTTTTCAACCTTCATGGAGGTAGCACCATTGACTCCTTCTCTCCTTCTCAACCAGCCATAGCCGAGTTGAGTGCCCAGGTGACTCAGCTCCTACAGACTTCGACCTCGAACCCAATCTTGAATCAGTATCCTATTTTGATGACCCTGAACCCAATCCTGAATCAGGATCCTATTTTGATGACCCCGACCCCTACTACAATGATGACCCCGACCACGACTACGACAACGACAACCCCGACCTCGAATCTATCTGTGATTCAAACCCAGATCCTGACTTCGACTTCGACCCCGACTCAAGCTCAGATCCCGATCCGGATTCCTACGAAACTTGTATCCTATGCATCTTCCTCTGCACAAATTATGACTTCCCAACTAACGACCCTGACATATGGATGAGATTGTGCAAACTATGGTGATCCGAGACACACTTGTGATACTTGTTTTAAATTGCATGGCTACCCGAATAGTGGGCTACTCTCAAAGATCGAACACAACCTGATACGACCCATAATGATATTGGTTATGGATTCCATTCTTCAGATAAGAGTGATTCCATGAGCTGGATAATTGATTCCAGTGCAACTGACCATATGACGTTTGATCCTGATGATTTTTTGAATACTACCCAACCCCGACGAACTTGTATGCTAACGCCAATGGAGTTACTTATCCTGTGACAGGGGCTGGAATTGTTGCACTCTCATCCTCTTTCTCACTGTCTAATACTTTACTTGTTCCATCTTTATCCAATAAATTGATGTCAGTTAGTGAGCTTACTGAACAATTGAATTGTTGTGTACTCATTTACCCTTGTTTTTATTTGCTTCAGGATATTCACACTAAGGAGATTCTTGGTAGTGGTACTAAGAGAGGGGGGCTATATTATGTAGATGACTTCAGTCTCGGCATGGCTAACAGTGTGACGCATCCCTTTGATAGCAAATAAAAGCAAATCTGGTTGTGGCACTATTGATTGGGACATCCGTCTTTTAGTTATATCCAGATTTATTCTTAGGTTTCAAGGACTCCAACTTCACATGTGATACTTGTATTTTGGCCAAGAGTCACAGTGTGTGCTATCCGTTGAGTACGAACAAATGTACTACTCCGTTTACGTTAATTCACTCTGATGTCTGGAGACCTTCACCTATCACTGCTCCTTATGGCGTTCGGTGGTTTGTCACATTCATAGATGATTGTGGATGACATGACTTTATTTGCTGAAGAATAAAAACGAAGTGTTTTCTTATTTTCAGTCCTTCCATAAACAGATGAAAACTTAGTTCAATGCTCAAATACAGATTCTTCGCTCAGACAATGGTGGAGAATTTGTCAATCATGACTTTCAAGCTTACTTCCAACAACATGGAATTATCCATGAGACGACTTGTCCTCAGACACCACAACAAAATGGTGTTGTTGAACGAAAGAATTGACATTTTCTTGAAACCGTCCGAGCACTTCTTATTGGCGCTCATGTTCTTCGCCATCACTGGGATGATGCTATTGTCACCGCAGTTCACCTGATCAACCGCATGCCTTCTAGTGTATTGACCTTTAAAACTCCCTTACAAGTGCTTGCGCAACATAGACCCCTGCCCTCTGTTTTGGTACTCACACCCCAAATCTTTGGATGTGGGTTTCGTTCATCTCCACAAAAATTAACGTAGCAAACTAGATCCTTGTGCACTTAATTATGTTTTTGTGGGTTATGCCACTCATCAGAAAGGCTACCGTTGTTATCACCCTCTTACCCGACGTACTTATGTCACTTTGAATGTGACTTTTTTAGAATATGAGATGTTCTTCCATGACCCATCATCCAATTTCACGCTTCAGAGGGAGATATGAAATGAAGAGCAAAATTGGAGCAACTTGGAAAATGAAGAAATTCTCCTCTGTACAGAAATGATCGATCGTCCCGAGTCTGGAGCACGAGATTACTCTCTGCCGAAAAGCGATCAATCGCCCATTCATAGCCATCAATCGCCTAACTCACCTTATCCCTACGAAGATGTGTCTGATCCAAGTCCCACACCTACAGACAATACAAAACAACAAGATGAATACCCCCCTCTAACTCAACAGTACCAACGGACCAATCTCCTGAGAATATCCTTGAGGTAACTACTCCTACTACACTTGTGAATTTAGAGGATAAATCTATTGGATACCAATTACCTTTCAGGCAAAATCGTGGAAAGCCACCAAATCGTTATTCACCTGATATTGGAAAGACATCAAAGTATCCAATTGCAAATCATGTATCCACTGAGAAGCTGTCTGAACCCCTCAAGGCCTTTGTGCATCAGTTGTCTGCTATTCATATCCTAACCAAGGTTGTTGAAGCATTTAAAGATCCTAAGTGGGTTCAAGCTATAAAGGAAGAGATGAAAGATCTTTTGAAGAATAAGACTTAGACATTGGAAACTTTACCACGAGGAAAAAAGACTGTCGGATGTGGATGGGTGTTTACCATAAAACACAACGATGATGGATCTATCGAGCGATACAAGGCAAGACTTGTGGCGAAAAGGTACACACAGACTTATGGTGTAGATTATGAAGAAACCTTTGTACCAATTGTAAAATTGAACACAGTCATAGTTTTACTGTCCCTCGCAGCTAATTTATACTGGATATAATACTACTCAGACTGGAACAGTATGCAAATTAAGAAAGGCGTTGTATGGACTAAAACAGTCACCACGTGCATGGTTTGGACGGTTCCCCAAAGCAATGAAGAACAATGGTTTCAAACAGAGTAACTCAGATCATACTTCGTTCTTGAAGCATCAGAAAAGGAAGGTAACATCTTTAATAATCTATGTTGACGACATGATTATTACTGGGAATGATAAACATGAAATATCTCAGCTACAAGACTATTTGGCCACTGAATTTGAGATGAAGAATCTAGGTGGACTCAAATATTTCTTGGGAATTGAGGTGGCCCGATCACAACAAGGCATATTTCTCTTTCAAAGGAAATATGTCTTGGACTTGTTGACAGACACAGGAATGCTAGATTGCAAACTTGTAGACTCTCATATTGTTCAGAACCATCATCTTGGAGAATACCCGGATCAAGTTCCAACTAACAAAGAAAGATACCAAAGGTTAGTGGGAAGATTGATCTACTTGTCTCATACTCGGCCAGACATTGCTTATGTAGTGAGCTTTGTCAGTCAATTTATGCATTCTCCGAGTGAAGACCACATGAATGCAGTTATTCGGATACTTAGATATTTGAAGTCTGCACCTGGAAAAGGACTTATGTTCTCAAAACATGGTCATCTGAATATTGATGGTTACACATATGCAGATTGGGCAGGAAGTATAACATATAGGAAATCCACATCCGGTTACGTCACATTCGTGGGAGGTAATTTGGTTACATGGAGAAGCAAGAAACAAAAGGTGGTCGCCTTATCTAGTGCAGAAGTCGAGTTCATAGGTATGACCAAAGGAATTTGCGAACTCATTTGGTTAAAGAGGTTGCTTACTGAACTTGGGTATAGAACTACATCTGTAATGAATCTCTTTTGTGACAACAAGGCTGCAATTGCTATTGCACAGAATCCAGTTCAACATGATCGCACCAAACATGTTGCGGTAGATCGACACTATATCAAACATAAGCTCGAAGCTAAAGTGATTCAGTTTCCTTTCGTAAAGTTCGAGGAGCAGCTGGAGGATATTTTGACAAAGGCAATATCCAGTAAAGCGTTCCACAATTCACTGGACCAGTTGGGCATTGGCGACATCTATACACCAACATGAGGGGGAGTGTTGGCGTGACTTGTGGACCATTGACTTTCTTTCCTTACACACCAAGGATTCCCATTATAATTATATTTGATTTACTTTAATTCTTGATTTCCCAGTGTAAATAGAAATAGGAATTTATTATTTACTAGCTCATTAAAGTTCCTTTGTATTATAAATATGAACTCCTACAAGGAGAAGAATACACAGAAAATTCCCACAAACAAATATTCTCTCATAGTTCTCATATTTTAGCAGTTTAGACTATCCCTTATACTAAAAAAATAGATGGTAAGATGCTCTGTTCGTTGAA